CATACATATGTGATAATGATGGTCGCGAGTTAACCAGTATGTATGTCCCCTTTCAGACACGTCAAGTCTTGCTTTCAAGTCTGCTCGTTCGTAGGCGAAGGAGGTGAGAAGAGAGGGGAAGAGTAGAGATACCTCCGTACCGTCAATTCGTTTCAAGTTTTCTTGTCTCTTCTGTTCTTTTCGTTGCTTCCCATTTAAAGAACCAAGGACTTGAATTCAATTAAAGTTGACGCGTGTGGAAGCAAATAGAAAACACAAAAGAGAATGCGAAAAAAATTGCGTTCAAGACTTGACGTGTCTGAAAGGGGACTATATGCAAATTAGTTGCGACTCCGTATAAATACGTGAATATACACATATTAGGGGTATTCTCTGAGTCTTGCAAAGCAAATCCAATATGGCTTCCGAGATATAAATAAGTTATTGAATGTGTAGATTTCAGTTAATTTATCAATTTAAATTCAATATAATTTTTCAAACAGGTGACAACCTTCCTAAAAAACATTTTCGGCAGTAAACTTTCCTAACCCTCCTTAGTTTGGTACCCATATTGCAATAGTCAATTTATCTTATCAATTAAATTAAATTAAAATTTTCAAACAGGTGGCAACCCTCAAAAAATATTTTTGGCTGTAAGTCTTGTTCAACCTTTTTCTTCTGACGACCATATTGCAATATTAGCTTTTTATGATCAATTTACTTGAACTGCAATTTTCAAACAGAAAGTAACTCTAATTTTTTTTTCTATATTTTAAGTCAGACCTCAAGACACCTGTTAAAACTTCATTCCATTCCATGCATTAGTTTTCCAGTGATATGCGTACAAACAGACAGACCGACAGGCAAAAATTCTAAAAATTGTTGATTTGGCTTCTGTTGCTCTAAGCGTAGAGAGGACCACCAAGCATCGAGACTGGGCGATTCGCTGAGCAGTTTGGAGAACGCCTTTTCATCTCTTGCTGGTGCGATTCAGGAGCTGATTTCTCTGCAAAGACAGCAGCAGAATTAAGAACTGCACATTGCATTGAGCGCTAACCGCCAAAAAGACGTAAGCGATGTGTTATTACATTTTCCTTTTGTTGCATTAATTTTTTTATATATGTAACTAGTTTTGAGTTTTATCCCTGAAACTGATTATATGAATTACATATATAGATAATATATGATTATACATATGATTATATGATATGAGTTGATATTTTATAAGCCAAGTACCTACATAAATGAATTAAAGCGAGAATCAATTCAATTATCCAATATTTTTGTTTTTTATTAAATCAAATTTCTTGCTGGGGTTAAATAAACTTAAAAAATCAATTTATTGTTTTAGAGGCTGGAAAACGCGTTTTTCGGCACCTGTAAACCTAAGTTGCTCGAAAACTAGAGCCAATCCAATATCAGATTCGGACTTTACGGGAGAAATCCTTTAAGAATCGGCTGTAATATTTTAGGTAACTTAACAATGTTTAAACTTTGTTGGCCTGTGTAATAGACTGGCGCTAACACTGGCCACAATATTTAACTCAACAGAATGTTGTTGGGCAGTGTTATTATTATTAAATGGCTGACTGAAGTGTTGAACCCAAAGAAACTCGTTGAATTTTTGGTAGCAATTCTCCAAATCCATCTGGTAAGCCTCCTGTGCTCGCTACCCTAACGTCCTTCTATGTAACCTATCAAATGCGTCATAATTGTTCCTTTCACAGTCGCAAATATTCTGCAAGATTTCTTCTGCAGGTCCTTTCGAAATGAAGCTTAAAGACCTAGAAAGAAAAATTTTCGTCAAAGGATGGAGTCTTTACCCTGGGGGTGTTCGCAGAAGGAGCTGGACGATTCAACTGCAAATCTCTGAGACGACTTTCCAGCTGACCAAATTTTTCCTTGACTTGATTTTATCCTTTATTGCTTTGAGATCCGCGTTGTCTCTGATGATTCTCCTGAAACTTTTCATCCATCCGCGATGCCACCTTCTCTTAAATCTGCAATGAAGGAAGTCCTATTTGTCTACGTCGATGTCGTCTGGATAATTCCCGCCCCGAACTTTGTCATTTCCAAAACTTTCTCCTTGGGATTTATTTAGCCTCTAACATCAATTGCTAAAATTTTTCTTAAAGTTCCTTAATCCTTCAGGTTCGTCGTGCTGAATTGTTAAATAAACGCTCCAACTACTCCACAAATTACTTTATTGTACTATAAATAATTTAAAGCACTTAAAGGCCTGTATGCAGTTCTTAAGAAAAGCTAAAATTCCATACAAAATGACGACCAAGAAATGGCTAAGAAATTTTCTTAAGTCAAATTTCCTTCAGGCAGTACGCAGTTCTTAAGAAATTTGCTACGCTTTTTACTACGGTTTTCTAAAGTTTTTGTGAAAAAAGAGCAAAAGGCAACCCAGGTTTGCAACAGAAATATATGCCCGTTCCATTATTTCTTAAGGAAAGAGTGTGGCAACAGGCTGTGAAGTATCAAATATGTCAAAATTCCTTGGACACACACACGAAATAATGGCAAATTTTTCTTGACCGATTTCTTTAGAGCTGCACACCACACTCTAAAAATTGCATGTAAAACTACTACTGAAAAGTGTTTATTTTTCGACCAGAATCTGTTTAAGTATCCGCACAAGATGTTCAAGATTTGATTTTGAACATGAGTTGTTTAAAATATACACCTGAAATGTTTAAAATTACAAACATTTTGAAAGTAAAAATATATTGCTTTACAAATAATAAATACTAATTGCCAGGGGTGCACGCAGGAATATATTTTTGGGGGAAGGGTTTATACTTCTAAATATATATTATCAGAAAATACTGAAAATTCGCTCTTTAAAATACATTTATGCAAGTTTTATGTACAGAATGAAATAAAAAAATAAACTTTTTAAAGTTTCATAAATTGCAGTTTATTTACATAAAATTTACAAAGAACTCAAGAGATTTTAACCGGCTTCAAAAAAGGGGAGGTTATCAATTCTTCGCAGTATTTTACTTCTTTTAATTATTCCACCGCATAACTTCGCACCGCGTGAACTGATTCCAATAATTATTTTTTTACCGGAAAGATGGTACCTTAAGGGTCGTCCCGTAATTTGGTTTAGATCCGATCATTAAATCATGAAAAAATTAACGGTTAAAGATGCACTCAACTTTCAAAAGTAATACAAAATTTTACAAAGGAATTTTAATATAAATAAATTAAATATTTTCACGAAATTTGTACACGTTTTTATTAATTTTCATCGATTTCTGGTTTCTCATTTTTTAATACTTCGAATAACGAAAATTTAACTGAACTTGTATTTTTATCATGTAGCTCATTTTGGTGGAACGAATTCGAAGTTAGCAAATTAAATCTTCGAATGCTTATTAAGTACATATCAGTGGTAAACTTTTTTAGGCTGTAAAGTGTAAAATGCAACGGTAAGTGAGTATGCATTGCATATTTTTAGGACAATGCTTTCATTCGCAGTTAAACTTTAAAGAGCTCTCACGAAAAAAGAAACATTCTTACAAACTGACGCACAAGAAATGGAAAAGAAATTTTTTTCTATCAAAATTTCTTAAATCATAATAAAGTTAACCCCAAAACCCACCCCTTGTGTGCGCTACGTGACAAATTTTATATGTAAAAGTAAACAGACAATGTTTAATTTTGCACACACTAGGAGGGGAAACTGGTTACCTCTCTTTATATGCGTAAATTTAAACGAAAATTTTGTAGAGGAAATTTTAAACATTTTATGTGTAAACTGTGAAAATGTGAACAATAAATGTTTAAAACTCAAAAAACAAATTTGAAATTTGTTCTACGGCACACATATGATAAGTAAAAGTAAGCAAGCAGTGTTTAATTTAATTAGCACGGTGTGTAAACTTGCTTTCATTAAGAAAGGAGACTGGTTACCTATCCTAATATGCGCAAATTTAAGCAAAATTTTTTTAGAGTGCAGCCTTTACACCAAATTACGAAAACAAACCGAACGTATCACTAA